TACATGTTACGTTTTCAGTTGGTGGTGATCCTGCTGTAAGTGTTTCGGTGTTGTTTGGAAGTGTTCAAAGGTGTTTTTTGTGAGTATTCAAATGATTTATGAGAATGTTTTTTTTTGCGCTCATGTTGTATAATAGGCTGAGGTGAGTGGGATCGTCTTGGTTATAGTGATTTGAGGGGATTTCTATAAAATGGGTGTTAGTTGGTGGTGTTGATCTTAGTTTGTGGTGATTTTTAGTGTTTTTTGGGGCAGTGTTCGGTGCTGTTTGGGTAGTATTCCAGTGGTTTTTTGGGGAGTATTCAAAGGAGTTTGATGATGTTTCTTGAATGTGTTCAAATGATGTTTTTGGAGTAATCAAAGGAATTGATGATGTTTTTGGTGTTGTACAAAGTAAAGTGTGGTGTGTGTGTGGGGCGTGTGTGTGTGTGTGTGTGTTTTTGTGTGTGTGTTTGGGTGTGTGTGTGTGTGTGTGTTTGTTTTGGTTTAATGTCTCATACATAAGGTATGAGTTAGCTTTTGTGATACGTTGAAAAAATCTGGAGAATGGGGAGGAGTTTGGGGGTGAGTTGTAATTTAATGGAATATGTAAGTGTAGATAAATTAGAGATGTCAAATCTTATTTGGGAGTAATCAAAATGTTGACTTGGAAATGTTTTCAATGTTGTTTGGAAAATGTCCAAAGGTGTTTTTTGTGAGTTTTCAAATGATTTATGAGAGTGTTCGAAGTAATCTTGGGGTTGTTCTGTAGTGAGATGATAAAGGTTGTCGATGAGAGAATATTTCTTAAGAGATATTGAGAAAAGGTGGTCTCAAATGATGATGTATGAGAGTGTTTTTGAAGTGTTCAAAGTAAAGTGAGTTGTCTGTGTGTGTTAGTTGGTCATAGAATTTTGTGAATATCTTGGTTACAGTGATTTTAGTGGATTTGAGATAAGTGATGAGATGCATTTGTGGATGTGAAATGTGATTTTTTTTGTGTTTGTTCTGAAGAGGTGTGTTGGGAGAGGGTGAGTGTGTGTGGGAAGAAATGTGGGTGAGATGGAGAGGGGTATGGGGAGGGTTGTATTAAAAATTTAATGAAATATTGGGGGATTTTACTGAAAATAAAGGTAATTTGTGAATATTATAAAAAAAAAATTATAGAAGTGAAAAGTTTGATGCACTGGAAAAGATTGGAGTGTGTAGAAACATGTCGCAGTAGTTGGGTAGTGAGATTACTTGTTGTGAGTATAATATTTAATTTATGTGGATACAAGGAGATGGGTATGGAGAGGATTTTATTAGAATTTTAGTAATTAGGGAGGAATGTGTATTACATTTTTAAGATTCAATAAAAAGAAGGGAAAAATTTGTATCGAAAAGGAAAAATTGTGAAAAAAATGGAAAGGGTGGGAGGGTTTTTGTGTAGAGATATCGAAAATGATATAAGTGGGTTGTTGTTGTGGGGTTGTGGGTTGTGGGGTGCTAATGGGTTGTGGGGGTTGTGGGTTGTGGGTGTTGTTGTCGAACTAGAGATACCGAAAAGAGTTTTTAAGTGGGTTGTTTTGTGGGTGTGTTGGTTGTGGTGTTGTGGGGTTGTGGGTTTGTGGGTTGTGGGTGTTTTGGGTTGTGGGTATTGTTGTCGAACTAGAGATACCCAAAAGATGTTATAAGTGGGTTGTTGTTGTGGGTGTTGGGGGGCTGTGAGTGAGTTTTGTGGGTTGTGGGTGTTGTTTTTCGAACTAGAGATGCTGAAAAGTGGTTATAAGTTGTGGGTTGTTGTTGTGACTTTTTCTGATGAAATTAGTTAAAACGAGAAAAAATCGTGGGGGGTATGTGGGTGTGGGTGTGGAAGTGGGTTGTGGGGTTGTGGGTGTTGGTGATTTGGGGGGGGGTTGTTTGTTGTAAGTGTGACGGGGTTTGGGTTTTAAGTGTTCTCTGTTTTTGGTATGTTTATTTTTTGGCTAATTTAAAATTTTTAAAGTCTGTAAGAATTGAGGGTTTTTGTGAAAATGGGGGTTTGTGTGAAATGGTTTAGTTTTTATTTGGTTGTTTAGGGGTATTTGTGGTGTTTTAGTGTATTCAGTGGTTTGTTTAGTTATATGTTGGGATTTGGGTTTTTAATGGTGGTTAATGAGGCAAAGGTTTTTTGAAGGTGTTCGAGTCAAGGGTCTTTGAAGTGTTTGGAGTATTCAGGGGGAATGGGTGTGTTTTGGTTGATGTTTTAGTAAAAAGGTTTAGTTTTTTTTTGGTTTGAAATTTAGGTAAAGGGTTTGGGTAGTTTTGTGAATTTTAAAAAATTGGAGATAAAAGGAGTTTGGGAATTTGTTATTTTAAGAAATAAAAATAAGTGTTAGGTTTTTGGAAATGTTCAAATTTTTTTGGGTTATTCATGATTTTGGAAGTGTTTTGGTGTTGGAAAGTAAAGGAGTTTTTTTTGTGGTTTGGGGGTTTGGGTGTTTGAGGTGTTTGTTGTGGGTGTGTGTTGGTGTGTGTGTGTGTGTGTGGTGTGTGTGTGTGTGTGGTATTAACTTCGTAATATATAAAATTGTGTCTAGTGAATTTATCGAAAAGTGGTTATAAGTGTAAGTGTTGTGGTGACTTTTTCTGATGAAATAGTTAAAACGAAAAATTTAAAATTATTAATTTTGGGGGAGTGTTTTTTAAAAAAATTGGGAGGTGGGTAAAAGGGAAAAAGGGGAATTTGGGTGGGTAAGAGTTAAAATTGGTCCCTAGTTGAATTGAAAAATTTTATGAAATGTAACGAAGAAAATTTTAGAAAAGCAAGAATTTTTAAAGAAAAGATATGTTGAAAAAAAAATGAATTTTTGGTTTTTGGGTTTAAGGGAATCTTTTTGTTTTTATATGGAAAAGTGGTTTTAAAAATAATGGGGAACCGAAAAAAGAAATTGCGAATTTCCAAGAAAAATTGTATTTTCTGTGTTTTTCAACGATATTGGGAGTAAAAAGGTTTGGGGGTAATTAGTTACTTTTTAGAATTTTGTGAAAGAAACACCTTGGGGAGTTTATAATGCTTTCTACCCCCAGAGAAACCAAAAAAGGTGGGGAGAAGTTAGCTTGTAAGAGAAAGCCTTTTCCAAGGGATTGAGTCTTAAGATTTGAAAAAATTTTATCCCAGGAGAATTTGGGCAGGTATTTGGATGGAAAAATGGGTCCAAGAATGCTTTAAGAGATCCAAAAAATTTTATTCCCAGGAAGGAGAGGGGAAATTGATTAATGAGATTTTATCTTAAAGGGGGGAATCCCAAAAAAATTTGGAAAGCATGAATAGAGAAAAAAATTTGAGGTTGGAAACCAAATTGAACCAGGGGGAGCCATTTTGAATGCTTACCCCCGGGGGGGGAACCAAACTTTAAATCCCAGGGGGAACCAAAAAAATTGAACCCGGCCCTAAAAAATCAAACCCATAGTAGGCAAAGGGGGGAAAAAATGGTTTTAGAGGGTGGTGATCCGAGGGATGGAGCAGGAATTTGGGGTGAAAGTGGAGTCCATTTTGAATGCTTCCCCGAGGGCGGGAAACCAAAAACTTGAATCCAAAATTGATCGATTGAGAGAAAATTTTTGGGGAAAGTTGGAGCCAAAAATTTTCCCCTAAAAGGGGGGGCCCAAATTGAAAGAAGACCTTGGGGGATAAAAACTTATCCAAGGAGATGGAAATTTGATGGGGTTGGAAAAGGGGTTGGGGAAATTTTTGTGGATTGGAAAAGGGGGCGGGGAAAACGAAAATTGAAAAAAAAGAATCCAAAAATTCAAAAAATTGGAACTCATAGGGGAAAAAAATTTTGATCGAGGAAGGGGACCCCAGAATGAAAAAAATTGAAGAAAGGAAAAAAAAAGAAAAAAAAAAAAAAAAAGGAAAATTGGGGGCGGGGGGCCGAGAACGAAGGAGACGCTCGGGGCGAGGGGGGGCCGCGCCGGGAGGAGGGGCGCTTTCCCAATACAGGGGCCCTCGAAACATTAATATATTAAAATATATATATTATATAAAATAATAATATATTTAAATATATTTATTATATATATATAATATATATTAATATAATTATATAAAATTAAAAACCAAAACAACCCAATTCTGGAAGCTGGTTCCAAGAGCATTTCCCTATTTAAGCATTTTATTAACACGGAAAAAAGATATGAAGTGCCAGTTCAACAAGTGCCAATGCGTAATCAGGAGGAGTATCCCGAAGCCCACTGGTGCCAAACTCCTCGTAATGTAGGTGACAATGATAGGGGCCCATTATACGGGAGAAGCTGGCAGCGTTCCTATAACCCCACCAGAGTCCCTGGGGCCTGGGGCCAAGGATTTTAGAGAATATACCCAGTAGAATGCCCTGTGCTACCGGGAAACCCACTATGACAATGATGAAGGCGATAATAAGTGAATTCCGGTAACTGGGAGTGTTGTAGCACCATTCCTGGGTGGGAGGACAGCCGTCTGAACAGTGTTCGTCAGCAAACGGCATCGTCAGCTAAACATTCCCCGTTGACTGACTCAGGCTGATCGCATGTCTGGTTGGTGGACTGAACAGCATCTGTCACATTAACCTGGTCACAATGCTGCATGGGGATGACGCCATGACCCCATGGGATGAAGAGGAAGAAACCCACCATCATAGGCATCAATCCTAGAAGCAAGGCGAGCAACCTCTCGTCGAACTTCCTGGATAATACACCACTTAAAAAGTACATAATGATGCCCAACACTCCAGCAACACTCACAGCAATACCCACCTCGACCATGGCCCTGTTCTCTGACCAGGCATACTGGTCCATCACCAGAGGGATGAGTATGGCGTCCATTACCACGGCGATGAAGGTGATAGCAAATCGGCCATAGAGGATACCAGCGATAGGTTGGTAATCAGGACTAGGCAGCTTCACCTGGTTCTCGGCCCATAAGACGAGGTCATGAAGTCTCTCTCATACTTGGAGATGTTGTGCTCCTGCAGATCAGAGCATTGGAAGAATATTTTACATAAAATTAAAGCGAATTTACAAAAGAAAGAAGACTTACATAGTTAAACTAGTCAGATGACAGCAACTTAGCCTTGATGCAGTAGATGGCAGTAGTGTATGTGATTTAATACTCTTTGTTGAGCAAGAACGACAGTTGTCATTCTTGAAAGCATGATACTTGACGCATTCCTCCTACACCTACTGCTCATCTAGGTTCCCGTCTCTATTTCTGATGAATCACAAGCCTTCCCTGAGTCACCCCAGCTAAGTAGTGATGGCATCTGCTTGCTTCCCATTGGTTGAGAGACCAAAATGTAAAAACCTCTAGCTTGGAGTTGCCGAGAGACTTTTTTTGATCGAGTGACACTCATATACCCTTGGATTTTACCCTCCTCAATGTCGGTAAGTATTCATTTATGTTTCTAGTGCGTAAATGAATAGTTTAGGCATATTTTGATATATATATAAAGTCTGTGTGAAGCATATGAGTGCAACATGCAAATGAAAAAAAGTGCAACAAAAAAGAATGATAAATATCATTCTTGCCCATTTAGGCCCCATTTTAAATTTCAGTAAATAAATATTTGTAAAAAAAAAAAAATATATTGCATATATGAATTCTGTAGTGGTCTGGGTGTGTACAGAACGTTTTTATTGTCCTTCCAGATCAATGAGAAATTGTTTTATGGTGAGTCCTCCAAAGACAAGTCCAAATATCTCTTCGTTTTGGAGGAAAGTGACTCTGATCCAGAGCCAGATGACCTGGAATTGCTTGACAGTAGTGATGAGTACTTGCCACAGGATGCAGAGGTGTCAAGTGATGAGGAGGAGGAAGATAGACCATCCAAAAAGCCAAAATTGTCACTGGCCAGTGCCAGGCAAGCTACTTAGATGCAAGTTATGCAGCAAACACAAATGTCATATCACATCCTCATTTTCCTGTGTCATATGCAAAGTAAATATATGCATCAAGAAGGATAGAAATTGTACAAATTAGTGATCTAGAATGATTGTTCTTTCTCAGGAAACTCAGGAATGTGGGAATTGAAAGTTATATTCCTTTGCAATGTGTCCATAATGCTACTTGGTTCATTTTGTATTTTTTTAATACTTACAAAATGTTTGAAAACAAGTTCAATTTATGTTTTTGATATTATCTTTTTGTATAATAAGATAAAAAAAATGGTTATTTGGTGTTTTATTAACAATTGCAACTTTGCAACATTTAAAAATGTTCACCCTTTGGTAGGCAAGACGTACTTTTGTCAGTCCTCACATATTGGCAATTGATCGAAAACAAACTTTCACATTTTCATTTCTATGGGCTCATTTGCTTTACATTGAGAAACTCTATCCACTCATGGGAAATACATTTAAAAATTCGCAATTTTTTGAGGCTTGCTCAACAAAGGGTTTTAATTAAAGTTCAGGAACTTAGCCTTGATCTGAGTAGACAGCAGCAGTGTATGTGATTTTTAACTTAGCCTTGGTCTGTATAGATGGCAGCAACGTATGTGTTTTAAAGTTCAGGAACTTACCCTTGATCTGAGTAGATGGCAGCAGTGTATATGATTTTTAGTACACTGAGGTCATTGGTCACGAAAGGTCATCCTGTCCCAGCTGTTTGGGGGATTAGTGTGGAGCGTTATAGAGCACCATGGCTTGTTGTAGTGTTTGGAATCTCAGGTTAAAGTATTGAAGAAGGAGGTTCTACTTCTCTAAGAGGAAAATAGGAGGCAGAAAATTCTCCAAGATGGGTTCAAGAGTGAGTGTGAGAAGGGTGGAATCGGTGTGGAGAAAAAGGTTACCAACAGTCAGTTGAAGAGTGGCAGCTGCTTCAAGTGGAATGTTGTCTCTACTAAAGGTAGAAGTATCAAGATAAGGAAGCTTAACAGAGAAGATCTGAAGGTAGGAAATCGATTCTCTGTTCTCCAGGATGAGTGTATTTCAGTGGTTAGCGAGGTTAAAGGTACCACTAACTCCCTTGCTAATCAAGGTAAGAACATTCTGGTTCTGGGTAACTCACAGGTAAGATATATGGACCGTGCTGGTGGAAATGATATCTGGAAGGGCAGGAGACGAGAGCTGCTGGATAAATACAAGTCAGCCATAGATGTAATCAGGTCCCAGTCATATGTAGCATCTTGCCTAGAAGGGGAGTGGGCAATGAATGGATGTCTAGGGCAATTGGTGTAAATTGCTGGCTATACAGGTACTGCAAGGAACTTGCAATTCCATTCATCGATAACTGGGACAAATTTTATGGAAAACGTGATTTGTATACAGTAAAAAAAAACAAAACTTTAAATAAAAAAATCCCGTGCCGACGGTTGTCTTCAAGATTCCTTGTAAAATATGTGATAAAGTTTATTAGGGACAAACTGGTAAAAGTCTTGGACAAGATTCTAATGCTCTGTTAATTCATGTGAGTGATTTTTTAAGCATCCAATTGATTTTCAAAAGATTGAGAAAGTTGTATCAAGTCGATGGTCGACACGAATATAATGGAATCATGTTTCATAAAAAAGTAGTTTTGAAAATAATATGAATATTGCTTTTGGCTTATACAAATTGGATTAATTTTTAATTAATAAAATTTGGAAAAAAATTAAGATACATTAGACAAGTAAAAAATCTTAATGCTTGGGTAGAGCATCAGTTGTGTTTCACAGAGTCGAGTGTTGTGATGTGACTGTGAGGTGTAGTCTTGTTAGGTAAGACACATATGTAACAATTAGGTATCTTTATTTCGAAATGTTTCGCCTACACAGTAGGTTTCTTCAGTCGAGTACAGAAAATTTGGTAGAAGCAGTAGAGATGTGAAGACGATGTAATCAGTCCATCACCTTTGAAGACAAAGCTTCTACCAACTTTTCTGAACTCGACTGAAGAAAACTACTGTGTAGGCGAAACGTTTCAAATTAAAGATACCTAACTATTGTATATGTGTCTTATCTAACAACCTGTCGGTATTTTATAGCATTTTAATATTCAGTCTTGCCCTTATATACCTTCTGTTTATATTTTATTTTTACAGTTCCCTGATAATGTGAAAAGTCACGAAAGTCACTGTTTTCTCAAAGTGGTTGTTCTGCAAATTGTGATATAATCTGTTTACTGTGGTTTTAAGCAACTAATAATACTGCAACTGACCGGGAATCGAACCCTTAATGCTTTAACACGTCTCGAGAGGCTCAGTAAAATTCTGAGACGCTATTAACTGACTCAGCCATCAATGCTGTCATCTACCACAACAACTCCCACAACTACTACCACAACAACTACCATAACAACTACCACAAAAACTACCACAACAACAACCACAACTACTACCACAACAACTACCACAACTACAACCACAACAACTACGACAACTACGACAACAACTACCACAACAACAACCACAACTACTACCACAGCAACTACCACTACTACTACCACAACAACTACCACAACAACTGCCACAACAACTACCACAACTACAACAACCTCTACACAACTACTACCACAACAACTACCACAGCAACTACCACAACATCTACCACAACAACTACCACAACTACTAACCACAACCACTACCACAGCAACTACCACAACAACTACCACAACAACTACCACAACAACTACCACGACAATTACCACAACTACCTCAACAACACAAACAACTATCACAACTACCACAACAACTACCATAACTACCCCAATAACTACCACAGCAACCATCACAACAACTGCCACGACAACTACCACAACAGCTACCACAACAGCTACCACAACAACTACCACAACTACTACCACAACAACTACACAACAACTACCACAACAACTACACAATACTACCACAACAACTACCACAACGACTATCACAACAGGAACCACAACAACTACACAACAACTACCAAAACAGCTACCAAACAACTACCACAACAACTACCACAACTACTACCACAACTACTACAACAACACCTACCACAACAACTACCACAACAACTACCACAACAACTACCACAACTACTACCACAACAACTACCACAACAACTACCACAACAACTACCACAACGACTATCACAACAACTACCACAACAACTACCACAACAACTACCACAACAACTACCACAACAACTACCACACCAACTACCACAACAACTACGACAACAACTACCACATCTACTACCACAACAAACTACACACCAAATACCTCAAACAACTACCACAATAACTAACACAACAACTACCACCACAACTACCACAATAACTACCACATACTACCACAACAACTACCACAACAACTACGACAACAACTACCACAACTACTACCACACCAACTACCACAACACCTACGACAACAAATACCACAACTACTACACAACAACTACCACAACAAATACCTCAACAACTACGACAACAACTACCACAACAACTGCCAAAATAACTACCACAACAACTACCACAAACAACTACCACAACTACTACCACAACAACTACCACAACGACTATCACAACAGGTACCACAACAGGTACCACAACAGGTACCACAACAACTACCACAACAGCTACCATAACAACTACCACAATAACTACCACAACAACTACCACAACAACTACCACAACAACTACCACAATAACTACCACAACAACTACCACAACAACTACGACAACTACGACAACAACTACCACAATAACTACCACAACAACTACCACAATAACTACCACAACAACTACCACAATAACTACCACAACAACTACCACAATAACTACCACAACAACTACGACGACAACTACCAGAACTACTACCACAACAACTACCACACCAACTACCACAACAACTACCACAATATCTACCACAACAACTCGACAACAACTACGACAAACAACTACCACAACAACTACCACAAACAACTACCACAACAACACACAAACTATTACCACAACAACTACCAAAACGACTATCACAACAGGTACCACAAAACTACCATAACAACTACCACAACAGCTACCATAACAACTACCAGAACAAACTACCACTACTACTACCACAACAACTACCACAACAACTACCACAACAACTACCACAACAACTACCACAACAACTACCACAACTACTACCACAACAATTACCACCAGCAAACTATCACAACAGGTACCACAACAACTACCACAACAACTACCACAACAGCTACCATAACAACTACCATAACAACTACCACAACAACTACCAACAACTACCACAACAACTACCACAACCAACTACCACAACAACTACGACAACACCTACCACAACTACTACCACAACAACTACCACAACCATATACCTCAACAACTACCACAATAACTAACACAACAACTACCACCACAACTACCACAATAACTACCACAACTACCACAACAACTACGACAACAACTACGACAACAACTACCACAACTACTACCACACCAACTACCACAACAACTACGACAACAACTACCACAACTACTACCACAACAACTACCACAACAAATACCTCAACAACTACGACAACAACTACCACAACAACTACCACAACAACTGCCAAAATAACTACCACAACAACTACCACAACAACTACCACAACTACTACCACAACAACTACCACAACGACTATCACAACAGGTACCACAACAGGTACCACAACAGGTACCACAACAACTACCACAACAGCTAACCATAACAACTACCACAACAACTACCACAACTACTACCACAACAACTACCACAACAACTACCACAATAACTACCACAACAACTACCACAACAACTACGACAACTACGACAACAACTACCACAAAAACTACACAACAACTACCACAATAACTACCACAACAACTACGACAACAACTACCACAACAACTACCACAACAACTACGACGACAACTACCAGAACTACTACCACAACAACTACCACACCAACTACCACAACAACTACCACAATATCTACCACAACAACTTCGACAACAACTACGACAACAACTACCACAACAACTACCACAACAACTACCACAACAACTACCACAATAACTACCACAACAACTACCACAACAACTACCACAACTATTACCACAACAACTACCACAACGACTATCACAACAGTACCACAACAACTACCATAAGAAACTACCACAACAGCTACCATAACAACTACCACAACAACTACCACTACTACTACCACAACAACTACCAACAACTACCACAACAACTACCACAACAACTACCACAACAACTACCACAACTACTACCACAACAATTACCACAGCAACTATCACAACAGGTACCACAACAACTACCACAACAACTACCACAACAGCTACCAAAACAACTACCATAACAACTACCACAACAACTACCACACAACTACCACAACAACTACCACACCAACTACCACAACAACTACCACAACAACTACCACAACAACTACCACAACTACTACCACAACAACTACCACAACTACTATCACAACAGTACCACAACAACTACCACAAAACTACCACAACAACTACCACAAACAACTTCCACAACAATTACCACACCAACTACCACAACAACTACCACAACAAATACCACAACAACTACCACAACAACTACCACAGCTACTACCACAACAACTACCACGACAACTACCACAACAACTACCACAACAACTACCACAACAACTACCACACAACAACTACCACAACAACTACACAACTACTACACAACAACTACCACAACAACTACCACAACAACTACCACAACAACTACCACAATACTTCCACAACAACTACCACGACAACTACCACAACAACTACCACAACAACTACCACAACAACTACCACAACAACTACCACAGCTACTACCACAACAACTACCACGACAACTACCACAACAACTACCACAACAACTACCACAACTACTACCACAACTACCACAACAACTACCACAAGAACTACCACAACAACGACCACAACAACTACCACAACTACTACCACAACAACTACCACAACAACTACCACAACAACTACCACAACTACTACCACTCACTTGGAACACACAAGGCAGCAGGATAACCAGGTTGATCATTGCCAGGACAGCACTGATCCAGGCTGGAGCAGTGTACTTGTTCCACTGGAACCATTCGACACCAGTGTCCAAGTTATCCGGGATGGTCAAAGTCATCACAACCTGTAGAACTGGAACAATGTTGTCATAAATGGAACAATGTTGTGATAACTGGAACAATGTTTGGATAATTGGAACAATGTAGTAAGAACTGGAACAATGTGGTAATAACTGGAACAATGTTGTGATAACTGGAACAATGTTGTGATAATTGGAACAATGTTGTGATAACTGGAACAATGTTGTGATAACTGGAACAATGTTGTGACAACTGGAACAATGTTGTGATAACTGGAACAATGTTGTGATAACTGGAACAATGTTTAAAAAGAACAATGTTATCTTATGACAGTAACAAAAATTGGCTAATCGGGGAGGTATATACACTGGTAGGAGGTATATACACTGGTAGGAGGTATATACACTGGTAGGAGGTATATACACTGGTAGGAGGTATATACACTGGTAGGAGGTATATACACTGGTAGGAGGTATATACACTGAGAGGAGGTATATACACTGGTAGAAGGTATATACACTGGTAGGAGGTATATACACTGGGAGGAGGTATATACACTGGTAGGAGGTATATACACTGAGGAGGTATATAACACTGGAAGTAGGTATATACCACTGGGGAGGATGTATATACACTGGTAGGAGTAATATACACTGAGAGGAGGTATGGTACACTGGTAGTGAGGTATATACCACTGAAGGAATATATACACTGATAGGAGGTTATATACACTAAGATGGAGTATATACACTGGTAGGAGGTATATACACTGAGAGGAGTAAATACAACTGGTAGGAGGTATATCACTGAGAGGAGGTATATACACTGGTTGAGTTTGTATATACACTGGTAGGAGGTATAAACATTGAAAGAGCCTATATACACTGGTAGGAGGTATATACACTGAAGAGGTATATATACGGTAGGAGGGTATATAACGCGAGTAGGATGTATATACACTGAGAAAAGGTATATACACGGGAGGTATATAACTGTAGGAGGTATATACACTGGTAGGCATATTACACTGAGAGGAGGTATATACACTTGATAGGAGGTATATACACTGATAGGAGGTATATACACTGTGTAGGTGGTATACACTGGTAGGAGGTATATACACTGATAGAGGTTATACACTGGTAGAGGTATATACACTGTAATGTATAACACTGGTAGAGGTATATATACACTGTAGGAGGTACATTACAGCTGATAGGAGGTAATATTACACTGTAGGAGTATATACACTGATAGGAGGTATAATACACTGAGTGACGGCAAATACACCTGATAGGAAGGATATTACACTGACATGAGTATATAACATTGAGTTATTAGTTTAATATGTTTATTATTGCACCCCTAACCCATCCTGTGGCGGTAGTCAAAAGATTACAGTGGTACATAATTGGTCCAGGGACTGGACTCCAAAGTTTTGATAGCTGAGCCAAGTTTACAGAGGTAATGAACTCACAATTTACAAAATTAATGACCTCCACAATTACAAAGGTAAATGAAACTCACAATTTACAAAAGGTAATGAACTCAGGTAAGTCTGGTCACAATTCATACAAGTTACAAAGGTATTTACAGAGATTACAGAGGTATGTAATGGGTCCAGGGACTGGCCCCCAAAGTTTTGATAGCTATCTAGTACAAAGGTAATGAGCTCACAAGTTACAAAGGTAATGAATTCTGTAGAATGGTTACTTACGTTTATACTTTGGCTACAATCATAACAAATTATAGAGTAATGAAAGGGGCAAATTCACACCTCCAGCACAATCGCCGTCAACAACTGTATGAGTTATTGGTGCAAATATTGATTGTTGAGTCACACACACACCACACACACACACACACACACACACACACACACACACCAAAACACCCACACACACACACACACACACACACACACACACACCATACACACTTTAGTTTAATATTCTTTATGCACCCCCATACCCATCCTGTGGCGGTAGTCAAAAGATTACAAAGGTACATAATGGGTCCAGTGACCCTGGAACCCCAAAGTTTTATGATAATAGCTGAACTAGTTACAAAGGTAATGAACTCCAGGTAGATCTGGTCACTAATCATGGCAAGTTACAGAGGTAATGAATCAGCTTCACTCCTATACATGGTACAGTCATGAACAAATTAACAAAGTAACGAACCACTGATACGTCCACACCTGTCACAATTGTAATGAGTTATAAATACAAATATTAAGTGGATCATACACCCACTACTAGTGCGCGCGCGCACATACACACACGAGGGCGCACGCACGACATGTGCACACGAGCGTACAAATATATGCAACACACAAAGGACGCACAACCCACAACACACACACAACACCACACACACAACACACCAACACCCACACACACAACATACCCTCACACACCCCCACACCACACACCCTCGACAAACGGCGAGTCAGGACACCCACACACACACACCCACACACACACACACACACACCCACACACGCACAACACACACGCCACACACGCACACACACACCCACACACGCACACACACACACACGCACACACACACACACCCCACACACACCCGCACACCACCCTCACAACCCACACACACGCACGCACACGCACACACACACACACACACACACACACACACACACCACACACACACACCCTCACACACACCCACACACACACAACACACACACCACACACACAACACACACACACAATCATACACACACACACACACACACACACACACACATGCACACATGTGGTAATTGCTTTATTTACAGCTAGCAAAGTCAGGTAATTCTTCCAAGGGGAATGGTCCTGCAATATAACCACTGTTGATAAAATACTTATCCATTTCGTGACACTTCTGAGTGAGTTGTTTCTAATTTCATTAATTTGATCACACTCCAGTACATAATGACGCAAGGTGTGACAATAGTCCACAGGCAAAAGTTACATTTCGTTTGGTCTAACATCTGGTGGTGGTGATTTTAACCTGCCAAAGATACTGGTAACCAGCCGAGCCGGTCATGTAGTGACATCCAAGAGTCTGCTTATCTTGTTGGATGCACCATAGACATGTGGCTCTCCAGCATGATGGAATGATGATAGATGGACTGACTTGTGCAATCTCCCTAAGTCTTAAGTCAATAAAGTCATTTGAAGTTCTTTTCGATTATGTCTCACACTGCTAAATGGACAACCCAAGATTGTAATCTACCCCTCTTTGAAAGCATACAGCTTAGCCAATTTATCAGTCCTATCATGCATCTGAAACCAATGTGAGATGGAATCCACAGCATGTTGCACTCTGACTACCACTGTCCCACAATCTTACCATATCTATGTCTTGCTTTGACACAACATGCACAATTTATACTTAAGAGTTTGAGAGCATTTATGGATGACAGAGAATCAGTTACAATTAAAGTGTCAACCTAGATACAATGGACACATTTAGTGCAAGGAGTAGGCAAACAGTTCTGTTTTGAAGGGTAGAGCCCAGTTATTGATTGCGTGCTCCAATTTTCTTTATGAGAGCCATCACTCTGTGTGACAACAGCACCACTACCAGCTGCAGCCCCCATTGGACTGGTGAACAGAACCATCGACGTAAATCATTTGTGAAAGATTGTTTCTGTGTACTAAAGTTATCAAGTACAGAGCATAAGGCATCATGTTTGGCTTCAAGACGAAGCTTTGTTGTGATTTAAGAAGAAGTTTTGGGGGGACATGGAGGAATGGTAGTTTGGAATGGGTACTATCTCCATGGAGCAGGGAAATTCTCTGTTTCCAACTTGATATAGATCATGTAGCTGGTTCATGCGGAGGTCAGTTCCATTTTTCGATCTCTCACTGGAAGGAGTTCAAACACAGTGCTGAGGAAAGAGTTTGGAGGGCATCTGTGGGGGGGGCTGGGTGGGGGGGTTGGGGCTAGCCTAAGCATATAGACCCCAATAAGGATATTTCATTTCAGTAACACGATCTCTAATGCTTGAATATTAAGTTCTTTCCGCCAATTTTAAAATTTTGGCAGTACGAGGGCATCTAGATATCCACATTTGCTTCGTTGTGCAGTTTTTCCAGCCTCCAAGCTTCCAGTCAGACACGAGTGCAAGTAGTGGCGCTGCATAATCAACCAATGATCTAATTTAAGCAAGATACATCATTTTCACAATTTTAACATTAAGCCCATACCTGGGATGAAAACCTGCCACAACCTCTAAGTGCTCTCAAGCCTTTCTTTTGTATTGGCGACAAAGTCTCGTAAAACAGGTTTTCCAAGTAGAGGAACCTCATAGCCTAGATACCTGTATCTCTTACATATTCTAGAAGAGACCTATCATGCAACTGATCTGACGAACTGTGCCTCTCTTGCCGAGGAGGACGCCTGTTGAGTATCTTTGTTTTATCCCCTGAGATATTATTAACCCCAGGTCCCTGACACGAGCTTAAGACATGATTAAGAATGCTTTGGTGTTGGAAATCCGGTATGTGAATCATTATGTCATCAGCAAAAACTAACCATATAATTGATGGGGCCTGGCTAGGCATGGCATTAAGTAAGCATTAATCAAATGTTGAAAGGGTGGGAACTAAGCACACCTCCCTGTGGGTTCTCTAATCAAAATCTTTAGTTACACTCTATGTCCCTGGAACCAACACAGGAAAACGACTTTCTGTTGGACAGGTAACCTTTAATCAGCGGAGAAGCCATCCTCCAACAATCCATTCTGGCAAGTTCACTAATGATTACTGTCTGTTGGCTACATCAAACGGATTTAAGGTCCAGGAACGTATGTATGAGCTTCATTGTGCAGAGTGAGAAAGGTGGTAATTGCAATGATGCCACACTCCTCCATGCATGAAGCCATGCAAACCGGGTGACAAGGAATTCCTTAATTCTGGTGCATAAGACGATTAAGAATCATCCTTTCCAACTTGTTTACACAAGCAGCTAGTAAGGGATAATTGGGCGGGAAATGAGTTTTGTTTTTATGGGCTTTGGAATGGGAATAATGAGTTTATT